ATTTTATTTTATTTCTATTTTTAAAATTATAATAAAAAAAACACAAATAAAAATTATGCACATTAAAAAAAAAAAAAAAACATAATACCAATTCTCTTTCAATAACACACATTACCAAATAAAGCTTTTTTTAAAATTTTTTTTAATTAAAGATTTTTTTTAGGTTATTGAATTTCGATTATTTTTGATAATTAGATAAATAATAAGGAAAAAACTTACCTAATATTTCAATGAGTTTCTTTTTAATAAATATTTAATTTGAAATAATCAACAATTTCTTTTGAAAGTCAAATAACATGGTTAATAAAATAAAAAAAATTTAAAATCAAAATTAATTAAAATTAAAAAAAAAAAAAAATTTATTAAAATAAAAAAAAAAAAAATATCTTTTATGTTTTTATATAAAAGGATATGATTGCTTTTCAAAAGAATGTATGGGGAAAAATAAATAAAAAAAAATAATTTATTTTTTTTAAAAACCATTGTTAATATAAAACAATAAGATATTTAAATTTAATTTCTTAATAATAAAAATTAAATTAAATTCAAATAATAATTATTTTACAAATTTCGATAAATGTACTAATGTAGATCAGATCATTAAATTCATACAAAAAAAAAAAAAAAAACACAACCACAAAATAAATAAAAATTAACAATGATCAGTTCCCATTAATTAAATTAGTATTTTAATCAAAATAAGACTTTAAAGTTTTAATAAAATAAAAAATAAAAAATAAATTTTTAATAATGAAAAATAAAAAATAAAAAATAAATTTTTTTTTATTATAAAATAAAAAAAAATTCATAACTTTTATAACAATAAAGATTATAATATTATTTAATAAATAAAATTTAAAAAAAAAAAAAAAAAAGATTTTTCATTTTTTTTTTATTTTTTTTTTTTTTTTGGCGTTTATGCTTTCATTTAAAAACTATACACAAACAATTAATTTTATCATTTAATTTAAATTACCTATACTATAATAACAAAAATAAATTATAATAAAAAGTTACTTGTATTTATTTGAAAAAACCCAGATATTATTTTATCACAATAATAATAATAATAATAATAATAAAATGTTTAAAATAATTAAATATAAAAACAATAGTAACAATCAGAAAATAATTAAAGATATTTTATTTAATTTTAATAACAAAAGATCAATAATAAATAGTAATAATAAAAAAAATATATTAAATAATCACGAAAATAATAATTTTAATTATAATAATAAAATTAAAATTAATAATTATTGCACCAAACCAAATTTTACATTTACATCAGTTGGCAACATTGAAATCGATAATATAATTAAAAAAATCGAAAATGAACCAAAAGAAGGCCCATTATATATTTATAATCAATTAGTTAAAGATAAAAAGATTAAAGTCGATCCATATCAAATATCAACAGTTAAAATATTGCAAAACCTATATAACCAATTAAAACACAAAGATTTTTTTAAAAATCAAGAATTTGGAGGTAATCAAAATAATACAGAGATTTCATTCTCAAAGTTTTTAAGTTTTTTCAACTCTCCAGCATCGAATGACCATCAAAACAAATCTATTACTAAACTAAATGAAAGCGAATCATTTATTAAAGGAATTTATTTATATGGGGATGTAGGGTGCGGAAAATCATTTTTAATGGACTTATTTTACAACTCAATAGATATCGAAAAAAAGAAAAGAATTCATTTCCATCATTTCATGTTGGATGTGCACAAGAGAATTCATAAATGGAGACAAACAAAGAAACCAGATGAAGACGATCCAATACCACCACTCTCACGTGAACTAGTAAAGGAATCTTGGTTGTTATGTTTTGACGAATTTCAAGTTACAGATGTTTCAGACGCAATGATATTAAAACGTTTATTTAGCAATATGTTTGATATGGGTGCAATTTTAGTAACTACATCCAATAGAGCACCAAGCGATCTTTATAAAAATGGTTTAAATCGTCAATTATTTGTTCCATTTATTCACTTCCTTGAAGGAAAATGCATTGTTCACAATTTAAATAGTGGGGTAGACTATAGATTAACTGGTACACGTACAAAAAGAGTATATTATTTATCAAATAAACAAGAGGATGTCCAACAATTCACCCATTTATTCAAGCAGCTTACTAAAGGTGATCCATTAGAATCGACCCAAATAACCCTTTCAACTGGAAGAAAAGTTCATATACCAAGAAGTGCCAATAGTTGTGCAATTTTCGATTTTAAAGAATTATGCGACACTGCCATGGGAGCCGACGACTATATTGAAATTGCAAAAAATTTCCACACCATCTTTTTAGAAAACATCCCAATGATGAACGAATCCACAAAAAATCAAGCTCGTCGTTTCATCATCTTAATTGATGTCCTTTACGAACATAAAGTAAAACTAATTTGTACTGCCCAATCCACACCCGGTCAATTATTTATGAGCGAGGGTGGTGATAATAGTAATTCTGAAGTTAGACAATTAGCTGACGATCTCACCTTAACTCCAGAACAACTATCAAGATTCAATGGTGAAGAAGAAAGATTTATGTTTAGCAGAGCAGTTTCAAGAATTGTGGAAATGCAATCTGACCAATATTTATCAAATTCTATAAATAGAATTAATCATTAAATAAAGAAAAAAAAATAAAAATTATTTAAATTATTTTTTTATTTATTATTTCTTTTTTATATTTTTTTTATTTATTATTTCTTTTTTAAATTATTTTTTTATTTATTATTATTTCTTTTTTATATTTTTTTATATTTTTTTTATTATTTTTATTATTTTTATTTTTTTTATTTTTTTTTATTTTTTTTATTTTTTTATTAAATTAATTTTATTTTTATTTTTATCTATATTTTTATTTATTCTATTTCTTTCGAGGTTAAAAATAAATTTGATTTCTAAATAAATAAAAAAATAATAATCTGATTTAATATCAAATACTATAAATAAAAAAAAAAAAAGGATATATAAAAAAAGGATAAAAATATTTATTAATTTTTTTTTTTTTTCGTTTTTTTTCCAATTTTTTTTTTTTTTTTTTTATTAATTTTTTAAAAAATTTTTTTTTTTGAAATTATTTCTTTTTCTTTTTTTTTTATATATTTTAATAAAATTTTATATATTAAAATTATTTTTTTTTTTTTTTTTTTTTATTTTTATTTTAAAAAAATTTTAAAATTTTTTTTTTAAATATAAATTCAGCAACAGATAGCAATTTAATATTAGGTTTATTAATTAACCTAATATTTATAATAGTAATCATTTCAAACTATTTAAATAAAATCATAACCTACTTTAATTCTTCAGGAAGCATTAATACTTCAGGACCCAAACCAAAGGTGGCTTCAAACAAGAAAAAAAGAAGAGATCAAGGTAAATATTATTATATATTATTATTTATTAAAAAAAAAAAAAAAACTATTGCTATAGAAAAAATAATTAACACACAATTTATATTCTTTTTTTTATACTATTATTAAAGAAATGAATCCAGAACAAGCAAATAAATTAAAAAAAGTTTTAGAGGGGGAAGATTTTAATGATATTGATGAAGAAGATGTACCAATGAGTCCAAAATATGATAATGAATTAGAAAGGGTTCCAGAAGGTATGTGCTGTGAATGTAAAGATCAACCATCTACAATTCATTGTATAACATGTAATGATGATTTTTGCGATGTTTGTCCATTTGTATGTATTTAAATTTTATAGAGGAGGAATAAAGAAAGATAGATATTGTTTAGAAAATTCAAGAATTTATTAATAACTCAACTTATAAATTTAGCAAATTCATAGAGGTGGATCGCGTAGATCACATGAATTCCGAGATATAAAGACATTAAACCTTTTTAAATACGACGATTTAGATAAAAGAAATAGAAGATTACCATCTGATAGTGAAAATATTGAACAACAAATCCAAGAACCAACAATCACCTCGACTACATCTACCACAACAGATTTCGAATCAAAAACAACCAGCACATTAAACAATAGTATGTATAGAGGTAACAATTTATTCAATAACGCTTTACCAGCTTTACATACTAATATTCAATCACATGGCCTATTTAATAATCATATAAACAATAATAATATTAACAATAATAAAATTAATCATAAAGATGAAGAGGAAGAAGAAGAAGAAGAAGATGATGATGACAAACCATTTATTCATAAAAATGAAAATTTACATAACGGTGCTTCACAATTAGATAAAAGTTGGTTCTTAGAAAGATCAAAATATATTCCAATTCGTCTAACTCTTCGTGAACGTTCAGATCTCCGTTTATTGGAAGCTGCTCTTCATGTTTCAGAATATACCGATAAGATTGATATTATCCATACAGGTGGACAAAAATCTAAGAGAATTAATGAACAATTAAGAAATATCTGTGCAATTTTATCAGGTTTATTAGTTGCTAGGTAATTATTTATATTTTTAAAAAGAAAAATTATTTATTTACTAATTTTAATTTTTTTTTTTAATAGTGATTTTAAAAAAGGTCAACAATTAGTTGAAAATAAAGATTTTTATGAAAACGAACCATTTTTCCAAAATGTATTTGAAATAGGTAGAAGACACAAAATTATGAATCCAGCCAAAATGAGAGCAGAGTATGGTAAAATGGTACATTTACTTCAAGATGCATCATTGGGCGAAATTAAAAGAAATTTAAATGGCCTCAATATGATCAAAAAATTAAAAACTGTTTATTCATTTTTAGAAGAGAACGATGGATTAAAACTTTTAGAAGATCCAAGATTAAACATTGCAACTCGTGAAGTTTTAGCTGATGGTAAAACTCGTAATCAAATCCAACAGGAAATTAAAAATAAAGAATCAGCAATTAAATATCTTTCCAAAAGATATGCCTCATCACAATTAAGATCCGAAGATATCGAAACCTGTATTTATTCAATTTGTGATAATCACACTTTTCTCCGTGAAAATCGTGACAGCGTTAAAAAAATGAAGAGACTCTTAAAAGAATACTTTGACAAAGATAAATTTGAAAAAGGTTATAGTCTTACTTTAGAGCATGGCCAAGGTGGTGCCCGTCTCTCTCATAGTCATCGTAAACAATTCAATTATGTATATCAATCATTAAAACTTTGGGAGCTTATTCTCCACGACATGTTCAAACTTTGGTATTTCGCTGAAATGGATTTACTCTCTGGTAATGGCTATCATTTATCAAACACTGGTCAAGGTCTTAATCGTATTCAGCAATGTCCAAATGTTGGTAGACTCATGTCAAGTATCCTCCGTGAAACTCAAAGAAAAGTAGGTGATGATTGGGTTGGTTCATCTGTTATTCATTTAGGTGATCACAATGTACCAAACTCTTTAATGTTCATCGATAAATATACTCAAATCTCTCGTATCTTAAATCCAATAGTTATCACCATCGAATTTATTCCAAAAATTAAAGATCCAAATATTCTCAAATATATCGACAACTCATTTGGTGGTCCAGAAAATCTAACAAAATTAATTTTATCCGATTTCTTCAAGCATGCTTTCGATGGTAGTGGTGCCGATAATTTCTTTGATGCTGGCTCTTGTATAGATGGTAGATTAACCTCTGCTTGGAATTGGTGCAGCAAAATCGAAAAGAAATCCTATTATCCAATATTTTTACTTGCTGGCTTTATTGGTTTTGATGGTGGTGCTTGGTAATTTCAATAATGAAATATTATGTTTTATAAAAAAAAAAAAAAAAATAACCAATAAACGATAAAAAATAATAAAAAATAATATTATTAATATAAATAATTTTTTATAAAAATCATTTAACTATTTTTTTTAATGTTCAATGTAAATAAAAATATTGATATAATAAACTTATTTTGTTTGTAAACTAACCTTTAACTATTGCAAAAAAAAAAAAAAATACGAAATTCGAGTAAAATAAAAAAAAAGAAAAAAAAAAAACGAGAAAACTAAAAACTAAAAATGAATAATAAAACATAAAAATAAAATTAAAAACTATAAAGTATTTATATAATAAAATCAAATTATATATTTGATTAATTTATTTATTTTTTTTAATAATCGTTTTTTTAATCTATATTTAAAAAGAAAATAAAAAAAAATATTAGTATTGATTTTAAAAACCCGATAATTTTTTTATTTTATTTTTTTTTTATTGTTATTAAATCAGATTCTATAAGTGTGAAAATTATCATTTTAGGCTCAGCAAAATAATAAAAAATTTCATCATTTAAATAAACAATAAAAATAATAATTAAATAATTATAAAATAAATATTTACCAAAATTGTATTTTGCTAATGAAAAAAAAATAAAAAAAAAAAAAAATAAAGTAAACAAACTAATTTTTTTTAAAAAAAAAAAAAAAGAAAAAAAAAGAAAATTTTTTTTGTTTTCCCCAAACGTTATTATAACTATTTTTTTTATTATTTTTTAATTTTTTTTTTTTTTTAAAAATTTTAATTTTTTTTAAAAATTTTAAAAAAAATGATAATTTAATTTTAAAACTTATTAAAAATTTAATAATAATAATAAATCTTTTTTTTTTTTTTTCCTTTTTATTTGTTGTTTTTTATTAATTTTTGTTTAAATTTATATATGTAATATAAAAAAAAGACATTATAAATTAATTTTATATATAAATCTTTTTTTAGGAAGAAATAAAAATGGATAGGTTGGAAAGGATTCTTTCGTTATTTATTAAGTTAATAGGACCTACATTTGTTGTTATAGCGATATTTTTAATATCTGGTATAACATTTGTGCATTTTACAGTTTTATTACCTTTATTAATCAAACCAACATCACTAACACCAAATAACCATGAAAATTTTAGTTCAACTTCAATAGATTCAACAAATAGTAATAATAGTTCTTTTCTATTTTCATTTTTATACAGTTTATTTCATTATTCAATATCATTCTTTTTATTATTCAATATATTTTTCAATTATATAATGGCAATAGTTACTTCACCTGGTCATCCTCCAAGAGTAAATAAATAAACAGACAGAAAAACTTAATATAGTAGAATATTTTTATAATGTTAATAGTTATGGTTTTAATTATTGTTATAGATAGTTATAGCTATAGTAATAGTAATAGTTATAGTTATAGTTATAGTAATAGTAATAGTAATAGTAATAGTAATAGTAATAGTAATGACGATAATGATAGTAATAATAATATTAATATTAATATTAATAATAATAATAATAATAATAATAATAATAATAATAATAATAATAATAATAATAATAGTAATATTATAATAATAATAGAATAGATATCTACTATCTAGTTTAAAAGAGTAATGGTATTAATTCATTTTTTTTTTTAGTTAGCAGATTATACCCCAGAAAAAATTGAAGAGTTTAATCAAATTAAAACTATTAAAAGATCTGAAACTAAAAAATTTTGTATATATTGTAGATTACCAAAAGAAGAAAGAAGTCATCATTGTTCAATTTGTAATAATTGTGTTTCAAAAATGGATCACCATTGCCCATGGCTAAATAACTGTGTTGGTATGTTAAAAAAAAGGTTTTTAAATACTATAATATGATTTTAACAGGTTCTACATTATATAGGTCAAAATAATCATAGGTTTTTTATGTTGTTTTTATTTTATTTATGGGTTTCATGCATTTATGTATGTGTTTTATCATTTCCACATGTATTTGGAGGTGGGTACATACCATTTTCAATTTTAATGTCATTTGTAATAACTTTGACAATTAGTGTGGCTCTAGGTGGTTTAATGTTTTGGCAACTTTATTTAGTTTTAACAAATCAAACTACAATTGAATTTTTACATAACAGAGCTCAACAAAGGAAAGCAAAAGCAAGAGGTGAAACCTATACAAACCCTTATGATTTAGGCTTCGAAAATAACTTTAAAGAGTTTTTTAAAATCAATACATTGTAAGAAACAATAATACTTTTCATTTATTATTTTATAGTTTACTAATTAATCTATTATATTTCGAGTAGCAGTTGGCTTACATTTTTCTTACCTACTTTCAAAATAAATGGCCAAGGAAACAGTAAAAAATACGAACCATTATTAGAAATTGTTTAAATAAAATATAAATAAATATTGTATACATACAAAAACTCAAACATCATTGGGGTTTATTTTTTTTAAATTAAATGTTTAAAAATTTGAAAAAAAATTTAAAAAAGTTTTTTTTTGCGCTGTATAAAAAAATCTTAACTAAAATTTCATAAGCCTTAATAGCTCAGTTGGTACGAGCGTGAGACTGAAGTTCTTAAGGTCGCTGGTTCGATCCCGGCTTGAGGCATATGTTTTTTAAACATTGTAAAAATCTTCCCAGTGATTAAAATATTTTATATTAATCTCTAAACAACTCTGTTTTATTTTACTGATTAATTTAAAACCGACGAATACCACTACAAAAAGTAACCGTACTCGAAATGTTAGCCAAATATCCACTACGTACCAAATCAGGTAGTCCGAAATCACCTACTATTGAACAAAAATATAAGAAAAAAACTTCTTAAACTAGATCACCTCGAACCACTTTTTTTTTTTTATATGAAAAAAAATAAAAAATTACATATAAAAAAAAAAAAAGTGGTTCGAGGTGATAGGTTGATTCAACCTTACCCCAACCCTCACTACTTCTTAAACTAGATAGATTATTTCACCTTACCCCAACCCTACTTCTTCTTATATTTTAATATAAATAAACACTGTCGCTTACACTAATAATATTTATTATTATTAAAAAAAAAAAAAAAAAAAAAAAAAAATTAACAATACAAATCCTCAAACATACCATTTAAAAATTTTATTTAATAAAATACCGTATCTTACACTAATATAAATTATATCATTAAGTAGGATTTTTTTTAAAAAAAAAAAAAAAAAAAAGAATTCCTAACAGCAATTAAATCAATTCACTCATTTGAAAAACCTTGGATTACACTTATAGTAACATTCTTTCAATTTTCCATTACGTTTTGCTGTAAAATTTTGATTTAAAACATTTTCTTTAAAAAATCTTCACTTTAAAAAAAAAAAAATAAAAAGACTTTGGATATGGGTATGCACTAAATTATTCAATTAAGATATTGATCTAAATGCAATTGCTAAATCCTATCAACCTACCAAACACCTATTTATAATTTTATAAACCTATTCACATAACTAATTATTACTACTTCTAAAAATTTTATTTAATAAAATACTATCTCTTACACTAATATAAATTATATCATCAAGTAAGATTTTTTTAAAAAAAAAATTAGGGAGGACATCATGGACCAAATTTTTAAAATTTGTGTGGGTTTTCCATACAGATTTTGGTCAGATGTGGAGAAGAGCCATAAAAGATAAACAATAATACATCTTATACACACTGTAAACCACCATTCTGAGGAAAAAATGACACTTAAAAATAACATAATCTAGAGATCTTTAATCTTTAACAATTAGTTATATTAACCATCAATTTACGAGATATATTTACCTAATAAATTTACACAAAAAATAGAGGATTTACACAATAAGTAATACATGTAGTATTGATCATACTAGGTCAAAATAATATTGAAAATACTGTAATTGTTATTGAAACTGATTTATCTTTTTTAGTTTAAATGGTGTTGCTCAAAAAAGATATTAGTGTTGAGGTATCAAATAAAGTTGATTATTGTTTTAAACCATTGATGATTTGATCTATAATGTTAAGGTTTTGAGAGTATTTTAGGGTCCCAATGACATTCAATTGTTTTTGTCAAATTTTTTGAAAATCCCAAACTATTAATTGGACAGTTACAACTTTTAAAATAAAAGCTGAGGCATTTACATTTGGTAAATGTTTAGAGTAATTCTTTAGGAAAATACAGTTTGAAAAAGCATCAGCAGTTTCGTTTGGTTCTAAATCTAATGTTTTTGGTGATAGGTAACTAAAAATACAGAAATTAAAATTTTATTGGAATTGGTAAAATGGAGAGACGTGGTAACAATGTTGATTGAATGGATCCTTTAATATGTGTTCGTATCTTTGTCTTGATGTAACTCTTCTAAATAATCAACTTCGTCCCCCTTGGTATAATTTTACGAATGATATCATATTCTTGTGGTGACAATTTTTTGGTAAGCAGAACTATCTTAATTGTGTGGTGTCGCTGACAAGCTGGATCTTGTGTTGAAGTTTCTTATATATTCTGTTGATATTTTTGACTTCTCTTTCCCATGCTGCTGCGCAGATTAACTAGAATCTCTTTAGAAAGAGACTCTTTCATATCAATGATCCGAGGACCTATTATTTACTTAATTGTGATATAACAACAATTTTTAAATCAATTTAAATTTATTATAATAATCACAAACATATATCACATTAATTGGAAAAAATCACACATATATCATTTAATATTTATCATCATATTTTGACACATTTTTAAATTTATTATTTTTTTAATTAATTTTATTTTTTTTAAAATAATATTTTTCAATATAAATTAAAATTCAAAAATCATTTTTAGGACAGAAAATAAAAGAAAAAGAGTTAAGTTATAAAGTTTACAAATAATAATAATTAGTAGTTTTTAGTTTTAATAAAGATTTGTTATTTTTTAAAATATAATTTTTAAATATTTTTATATATTTATTTTGATTTTATTATATTTTATTTTATCTTTATTTTGTGTTTTATTATTATTGTAATTAATTACATTTAGTTTATAATATATTTTGTTTAGTAATTAATTCATTATTTCAGAGTTCTTAAATATAACAACAGTTATATTACATAATCATCATATTCGGGGATGTAGCTCAGATGGTAGAGCGCTCGCTTAGCATGCGAGAGGTAAAGGGATCGATACCCTTCTTCTCCAATATTATATAAATTCTATCTTTCTGGTGATTTTTAGAAGATCTGGTATCCCAAAAACACGACCACTTTGCTATCATTCCTTTTGTATTTTCCGCTGATAAGAACCAATCTGCAATTTTATTGATTTCTTTAATTTCATCATCATTGAATTCTTCAATATATGAGTAATATGTTTTTCTTGATAGTGCTAAGAAGATTTAAGGATGTTTAATTTTGTTTTAATTGAATTACTTGTTGTTTTCCACAATGATAACGATGATCTTATTGAATTTAGTATTTCTGGTAATTTTCTATGAATTCCTGTTCCTGTGAAGTAGTATCCTAAATATCTTTCTGGTTTATTTGATATTTGTATAACTGAATTTGTAGTTTCTGGGTTGTTAATTGTTATTGAAACTGATTTATCTATATTTAGTTTTGATGATGTTGCTGTGCAAAAGTTATTGAGGTGTTGAATTACCAAATTAAGTTGATCATTGTTATTAACCATTGATGATGAATCATCAGCAAATCCTTGAAATTTGATTCTTCTGCTTGTGTTGTCCAATGGGAGTCCAATTATTGATTTATCTTCTAATATTGATCTCGCTAAAGCTTCTATTACCATAACATAGAGAGTAGGTGATAATGGATCTACTTGTTTTAATCCTCGTCCTATAAAAAATTGTTCTGTGTTTTTACCATTTATTTCCATTTTTGCGTGAGAGTTGGTGAGTAGTTGCATAATAAGATTTATTAGTTTGATTGGTATTTGTGTGTGCAATAATGTTCTGTATATTGCATTGTGTGAGATTGAGTCAAACGCTTTCAAAATCATAAAAAGTGATGATTCCTGGTGATTTGTTTTTGGAGCATAATTTGATAGCTTCATTTGCTGTCATTGTATTATCTATGATGGATCTGTTTCTTGTGAAACCTTTCTGATTAGGGTTGATTATACCGGGAAGAATAGTCTGTAATCTATTGTGTGAAATTGACTTTTAATGAACCAATATTACCTGTTCCGATTGTTGTTTTGATTCTGAAGATAATATATTTATTTGACACCAATCGATTCTAAATATTTGATCCTTTAGAATTTGCTGATCTTAAAAGTGTTTTTTTAGTTGTACAAACATTCTTTTATCGGGTTTTAAAATCTTCAATACCAAAATAGTTGATATCGTAATTGAATACTTTACAATATTTATTCTTTTTTGAAGACTGTTCATAAATCAATTGGTTTGCTAATGTTTGGGAATATATATGTTCATTGAAAAGCTAAATATTTGACATTCTTTTTCTTTTAAAACTGCTTCACTGTTGGTATGCTTTATTTAATGGTGATATCCCTATGTGCAGTAAGTATTATTTTTGGAAAATAAAAAAATTAAAAAAAAATTGAAAAAAAAAATAATTTTTTTTTTTTAATAAAATTATCATCATTTATTGAATGTACTTTAACAATAATAATAATTACTTTATATATTCAACCAAAAAAAATTAAAAAAAAGGATCTGTCAGTACAGGTTAATCTAAAAAAGATATCAAAAACATGGATACAAGGTATAATTTTAGACAAAGTTAAAATGATTAATAAATCATTGTTATCATTGAGTAACGTAATCAATTCATTGACTCACAGTAACTTAGCACGTATCACATACAGAGAATCGTAGTTAACTCATTTTCTACAAGAGTTATTGGGTGGTAACGGTAGAACTACATTAACTATAAATTCCTCACCTTCCAGCTACAACAAAGCCGAAACAGTTTCCATACTCATATTTGGTAGTTCAATAACAATAGTAATTGTAATAGTAGGATTGATAGTAATTACAGAAGTACTAGAGATTGGTTTCAAACTAAAGGTCATATTAAAATGCTTTAGAGTTTTAAATATATATATATAATTAGAAATAATAATACTTAATAAAAAGGTTTAGCTAAACCGGGTCATCTCTCAAGCCATATTTGATGTTATTCACCTTTCAAATAATTAATCAATAATCAATCAAAAATATAATAATAATTCAAATTAATTAAATAATAATCGATTTACACTAGTTAATAATCAAAATGATCAATTATAATAATTAAATTAATATTTAACAAACAATTTAAAAGTATAAATAGTTCAATTTAATTATTATCAATTATAAGTTCATTTTTATATTTTATAAAAAGTTAATAACATTCCCTATTTATAGTTTATACAATTGATAATCTATTT